TCAACTGGCAACACTTTTTCTTTGATGTATGGTGATTTGTGTCCTTTAACGCCTTTTATTTGAAGATAGAACTTACTGATCTTTTCTAGGAAATTTCAAACTGTAAACCCGACATAACAATAGGCGGACTTGAAACCCCACCGCCCCGATTCCACTAGCTACTCGTGACCTCCCCGGGCTGCTCGCAGCCCGGGGCAACCAAGCGAAAGCTAGTCTATATATATACGTGTGGAAGCATAATGACACAAAAAAATACAAGCTCCGCTTTTTGTTCTTCATTTCAAACGTGAATTCGGATGAAAGTTACGAGTAACCAAAAAGTTGGCTTATCACTAATGTTCCTTTCCACGTAAGATAATAAATAATTTAAATTACGATTCAAATAAATTAAAATTAATTTGAAAGTTAGATTTTATAAGAAACACGAAACGATGTGATATTTATTGATTTAAGATACTCAATTTTATTACTTCAGAAACAAAATTTAAATGAATATCATAGATAATATCCAAACATCGCGAGTGACATCTAGTATGATTTTAAAGAACTAATTTTTATTTTTTAAATACTTCCTTATAGGCCTCAATTGATCCTGCCTACAATCATTAATTAATTTATGTATATCGATATGCCTCCCGATATGGTTTTCCTTATAAATAAGTTTTTAACATTTTTCTTAAATTGAAATCATCTTCAACTTGTATGTACTTACAATCCAGTAGTTGATAAGACAGGTATTTATTTATTATATTTGATACTGAAAAATGTTCTTAATGTAAAATGCTTAAAAAAATCCACTTTGTGCGAGAGATAAAGTGGGTTTTTTTTAAGAAGTTTTCATTGAGATATTTACTTATAAACAGTAAAGAGAAATTTTACACTATAGTTCGGACTTCTTTACAATGATAAAAAATGTCTAGATACGCAATTCATACCGTAAAAGTGAAGCTACTAGAATTAAGACGTTTGTCTTCCACTACTCATCAACTCCCGCTAAGAAAGTACAAATAAATTGCTCCGCAAAAACAAATAAATACTGTTTTCTAATATATTAATGATAAAATCGGCGAAACGTCAGCGAATGATTATTTCCGCGATTTTAAATAGAAATAATATTAAAGAAATTTTTAAAGTTACAATATTTTACTTATTGATTTTAGACTTTAGATAAATATATCTACATTACTCATTCATCATTTATTATTATTACTATTACATTACATTCATCATAAAGGGTAAAAAATACCAACAGCTGGCAATACAGTATAAATTACCATACCTACGTATAACACGTAGATTATTATACCTTGTTTTATTTAAATTGGCACAAAATGTTAACAAATATGGCGACATGACAGTTTCAGTAATGAGACATATCATTAAGAATTTGATTGATTTAACTATCTCATTTATGTCGAGTATTATTGTTCTGTGTTTATGTCATTCAGTGACTATTCACCGAGTAGTTAGTTAAAAAAAATTATATTATATTATGTTATATTATATTATGTAGTTTCCGGTAGATGAAAGACTTTTTTAAATCGGTCCAATAGTTTCGGAGCCAATCCAATGCAAACGAACAAGCAATCATTTTTGGTAATTATATTGGTATTTGCTGATATCAGCAAATATAAGAAATTAATTATATTATAAGAAAAGATTTTTAAATAACTTTCATTGCTGCCAGATTATTGTTCCTCGTTGAGTATTATAGTAATAGTAATGGTTATACTCGGGTTTAATCTTAAGGTGAATTTCCCCTGCTTTAGAAAAATATGTTATATAAGGGGCTGAAACAACCAAGTGTATATGCTACCTCGTATACACTATTAATTTTATTCATTCATATCAAACGCGCTACCTTCGCCCACATTGAGAAGTACCTACAAATGAGGTATTAGATGCGTTTAGAGTCAATATGTAACGGATTTTGATATACCTATTAACTATCGTTATTAACGGTGTTAGTTATCTAGCTTAGTGAAGTTGTTGGTGCCTTTTGATTTGGTTGCGTAGAATTGTAATATTAGTTGTCGATTATTTATTATTCCTCATCGTTTAAATAAATGTCAGTAAAAATTAAAGAAACATGTAGAAATGTATGTTTTATTTATTTTTCTCGCCCTTAAAGTAAGTGACTAATAAATAACACAAGTCAACAAAAAAAATATTTTTCTTTGAGTCTGTTATTTAGTGAATATTTTCTGATTGTATACATCGAAAAAAAAGCAGAAACTCCATTTATAATAAATAAAGTTTGCTTTTGTACCTTTACACAATGTAAAACGAATATTATAGTGTTTTTGCAGTTTTTTTTAGGAGCCGTTGCATATAAGATACAGGAGAGGGGTAGGGGGGGCTGTGGGTGTGAAGGGGGAGTGACAAACTGTCAATGGCAGTGTGCGCGTGCGCTTTGCAAAGGAATAACGTATTTTATGTGTCGTGAGGCCTAAAATGTCTTCCAAAAAGTGCAAAAATCCCGTGGACTCTTTTTGTTATATTTGCGGCGAATTCATTAAAGTGAGAGCCAAAAAAATTTGTTTGTCATCAAATACGAGACTTTGTGAAGCATATGAAGCTTATTTTAATTTACCCGTACGAAGTCAAGATAAAGTATGGGCACCTCATTTCTCATGTAGTAACTGCAAAAACAATTTAGAGGGTAAGAAAATATATCATACTTTTCATTAAAATTTATATATATAACTATACCTATTCTGACAAATACATTAAATGTATCATTCGTAATTGAATAATGTAATTTTTTTTCCAGCCTGGTACCGAGGTGAAAAAAAAAGTATGAAGTTTGCAGTACCAAGAATATGGAGGGAACCAACTGACCATATCCATGATTGCTATTTTTGTGTAGTAAATCCAAGTAAGCGTCGCGCTGGTAAAAATGCCAAAAAGATTGAATACCCAAACCTACCATCAACGTCTGCTCCAGTACCCCACAGTGACAATTTCCCTGTGCCTTCGAGCCCAAAGCAGAAGGCTCAAGAACAGTTACCGCTATCACAAATATCTAGTAATAGCGGAGACAGCGAGTTCGTGATCACATCACCGTCTGTTGAACCACATCTTATTAATTCAGAAGAGTTTGATGACTTAGTAAGAGATTTAAATCTACCTAAACTTAAAGCAGAAATATTAGCTTCACGACTAAAACAGTGGAATTTGCTCAAGAACGATGTTAAAATAAGTGACCAAAGAAAACGTCATAAAACATTTTCTGGATTTTTTACAAAAGAAGACGGACTTTGTTATTGCAATGATGTGAAAGGTTTGTTTGAAGCAATCGGAATCCCTTGCATTTCTTCTGAATGGCGTCTTTTCATCGACAGCTCTACAAGAAGCTTAAAGGCAGTTCTTCTTCACAATGGAAATAAATTTCCATCTCTTCCCCTTGCTCATTCTGTAATGCTAAAAGAAAATTACGAGAGCATTAAAATGGTGCTTCAAGTTTTAAAATATGAAGAGTACGCATGGCCAGTGATAGGGGATTTCAAAATGGTTGGATTTCTGATGGGAATGCAAGGCGGGTACACTAAATATCCGTGTTACATTTGCTTATGGGACAGTAGAGCCGATGCACTTCACTACCAGCAGCACTCATGGACACAACGAAGCGAGTTTCAAATAGGACAACATAATGTCAAAAATGAACCAATTGTGAAGCCCGATCATATTTTAATGCCTCCATTGCACATTAAATTAGGTCTGATGAAGCAGTTCGTAAAGGCTCTGCGTCAAGACTCTGAGGCCTTTCAATATTTAAAATCATTTTTCCCGAAATTGTCAGAGGCTAAAATTAAAGCTGGTATTTTCATCGGTCCACAAATAAAAAAAATAATGGCCAGTGAACAATTCCTACAGCTCCTCAGTACCCACGAAAAACAAGCGTGGCTCAGCCTTAAAGCAGTGATTCATGGCTTTCTTGGCAACAGAAAGGCAGCGAATTACACGGAGCTTATTACTGATATGCTTCACAACTTCAAAGTTATGGGTTGCAGAATGTCTTTGAAAGTCCACATGCTACATGCTCATTTGGACAAATTTAAAGACAACTTAGGTGCATATTCAGAAGAGCAAGGGGAACGTTTCCACCAAGATGTAATGAACTTTGAAAAGCGTTATCAAGGCCAATATAATGAAAACATGATGGGTGACTACATTTGGGGGCTCATACGAGAAAGTTCCAACTTACACAAAAGAAATACCAAATCTGTTCATTTTTAAAGTCTTTTTTGTATTCTTTTTTGTATTTGTGGGTTTATTTATGCCGTCTTGTATAATTAAAGTCAATAAAAATATGTGAATTCAAAACTGTTTTCCTTTTACATATAACTGAAATTAAAAAATAGAGCTTTTTCATAAAAATTAAAATTTCGTTTTAGTAACTACAAAAGCAAACTTTATTAGATAAAAATATTTTTTCTTTAATTAGTTAGGCATAAGTAATCAAAATCAGAGGTACAGAACTCAGACTCAAAATTCGTGTTGACCCGTGTAATACATAATGTTTTTCTCCTTTTATAATACAGTGATGATGATAACATTGTAAATCAATTACTTAACTAAGGTGATAGTCATGACTGAAAAAAAATTAGGTTATTTTCTTAACCATCGATTTTTCAGTCATAAGTTCAATATTACGATAACATTTAAAAACTTACAGTAATAATAATGTCATCTACGTAAATAAGATAGGCAGGTAACCTAGGCAGGCTTTTTAATCTGCTTATTATTTTAATATACGCTTTAATAATAATTCAGTCTAACTATAAGTAATAAGTACATATTAAAGAATAAATTACTTAGAGCTTATATTAGGATTACTTGGAAACATGTCAGAAATTCCATTTTACTGGTACTGGTAAATTTACAAAACTATCTTTAAACTAATTAAAAATACGGTTAGCTGAAACTAAAAAATGATTGCAATGACATGCTACTTGTGAATATTCTTAGACAATAGCAATAAGGATTAATTAATACTGTTATTGGACTGTTGGGCGACCAGCGTACCCTGAATCAGGCAGTGAATGATGAGCTAGCTCTCGAAGAATCTGCTCAAATCCTTTACCTGATGGTGTTTGAAGACTGTTGTTCTTGAGCATCGTTGAGTTCAATTTCGTTGCTAAATAGCACATCTGAAAATTGACAATTAATTACAATTTTAATAAACAGGAATCAAAAGATTGTTTGACAGCGATTTACACAGTAATCTAAATAAGCGCCGGCTCAATGAAATTAGTCGTCCTAAGCTCTTGCTTAGGGTGCCAACTGGAACTTACGCAAAACACTGGAACGACGCACATACAAAATCACAACTAAATAAAAACTAATGTAGGTACCTATACCGATTGAAGAGTGTAATTTTGATAATGATAAAGGAAGCTCAACAAGGTAAGGTAAATTTTGTACTTTTGAATACCGTAGACATGGACGCATGTTCAAAGAACAAAGTCAATTATTTTTAAGGTACTGCATTTTAAGGTTGATATAATTAGAGTAAACAAACTGTTTGCCATGTTATGCTGCCCAACAAATACGACCGCCCTAGGCAGATGCCTAGTTTTCCCATATGGAGGGCCGGCAATTGGAAATTTTAGGAGTTGAGAAACTATGGAATTATTTATAAATCCAAGTTTAGATATAGCTTCTGGTTATATACTTAGTAGGAGCTCTGAATAAGATTTTATAATAAAACTAAAATCTCACCAATAAAGCAGACATGAATAGCAAAGATCCAAGCGCTACTGCTACCATCATGGAAGTTGCACACGTGTTTTCAAGTGGCGTCCTGTGGAAGAGCTCTCCTGGCATCACAACTGTATACTCCAAGTTCTCTTTGAATCTCGTGTAAGGAGTCGTGTTGTTTTCAGATTCTGACACTAGTGCTGCGCTTGTCACGTTCTGTGGTATATTTGCGTCGAACAGGGACCGTCGTTTACGCCCATGACCTGAAGTAATAATGACACTGAGTGTGATACAAAAACATGAGTAAATTACACTGTAAAGAACCGCAGTAAACAATTACAGCAAATTGAGCGGCGATAACTATGTTTAACCAACTTCAAAATCTAAAATTAGATTTATTAATGTTCACTGATTTTCCGTGAATTATAAACCAATTTTTAAAATTATATCTTTTCCATTCTCTAAAGATGGTTCATCTCTCCATCCAAACGTTGTTTGGAAGAGATCGCTGTGAGACCGCCGATTGTGACACATAGCTAATTTTGTTTTATTCTAAGTATATTTTGTATTTGGTGTTAACAATAAAGTGTTATCTATCTATCAATTAATATTATAGAATTTATTTATTTAATTACGAGCATTATTGTCAAATTTCGTTTCTTCCGCTACAAAGCAGATAATTGACGCATTTGTCAATTTATGCTCCCCAAAACGAAAAAAAGATGAAAATGACAAGAATAAATCGTATCAAATTGTGAAACTTTAAGTAATCAGTTATGTAACTATAGAAAACTTAGGCGATATTAAGTAATCCTTCGAATATCGTTTCTTATGTCAAATTTTATTAATATTATTTTTCTTTTGCTTAACGCAATAATTAAAAAAGTTACCAGAAGGTTCATATAAGTCAAGGCAGTAGTCAGGTTGGCAGTCAGCGGCGTCCATGCAAGCTTTAATCTGCGAATGTATCCAGAGCGTAGATCGTTCCTTCATGGAGGCCAAGAGGAAGGCTTCAAAGTCCAGGAAGACCTCGTTATGTCGTTCACGGTAACGAGCTGGTTGATGGGGAATTATCGTGGCGTATTCTCGGTTTCTGCAACTGTCAAGAATATTTTGAAATTAGGTGAGCAGGCTGGAGTCATTTTTGTGTACATTTGTTTGATAAGAGGAATACGTTGTCTATCTTTTCAAATAACTATTCGAGTACTAGTTACGGAGCCTTTTTTGTAATGTAAGGAAAATGCTTTACGCATACCCCGCCGCCTCCGAGCGTCGAGGTAATTGGGTCCGTCCCCTGGTTATTCGTTCAGTGGATCCACAGAGGCCTAACAGTAAAAGTTAATTGTATCGTCATCTGGAGAATTAAACCCAGGACGCAGTGGCCGAGGCACCGGGATACCAATAGCATTTTCACTTTTTACGCAGCTGGATGGTTAAGGAGGATGGGCTATGAGCTCCCAGTCTCCACGCTAACCCAATGCAGGTTAGAGGAAAACAAAGGGTATTAACGACTGCAAATGCAGCCGGGACCAACGGCTTAACGCGTTTTCCGAAGCACGAAATAGTTCGAGATAATATTTTTTTGGTCACCCACCCCGTGACCGACCTTTGCGAAAGTTGCTTAAGAACAATGGTCGCGGGCGCTTATTCACTACGCCATCGAACTACGACCGACTTTACGAGGTTTTAAAGTGGGAGTTAATAGATTTCAATATAAAACCGGGATTGTTTCCTTGTTTCGTGTTAGTAGGTGAGTATTGTTTAAAAGTCTCGTAAAAACCCACATGAGATCACTTTCTGACTCTGTTCACTAAGATTTGCATTCAATGCACTTGCTTTTTTACTTTGTTTTACGTTGAGTCTGTGAACATTTAGTTTTTTTAATCTCCGTTCATGATCTGAACATGAGATAGCAAATAACTTTAATTTTTTAATGCGTTAGACTAGTATCACTCATTGAGGAGCTCGATGGTGCAACGGTTAGCGCGTTTGATTTGCAACGAGGAAGTAAGGTAATTTTTGTAAGAAACGGTCTTATGATGGGTGATCAAAAATGTTTTATATCAAGGGTCCCAATGCTTCGGAAGATACGTTTAGTTGTTGGTATTGGCTTGTATCTGCAGTCCGACACTTAACAATTCGCTCTAGACCCGAGTGATGAACCCTATATGATTCCATCCTTATGCAAGACCTATATACCTTAGCAGGTTTAATAGGCAACATTAATAGTGTGATGATGATTATGAAGATAATGCTTTTTGTAAAATATTACGACCCCCGAATAACTTGCACAAGTATGTATGGCAAACATAAGATTTGAAACAGAAGCTAAGCAATCGCCATCTTCTCTGTTTAAAAGTTAGGTATTAAAAAGATATGAATTGTGTTATATAAAGGTGTTTTACCCATCCTTGACGAGCAGCACTGAACCAGGAGCGTGTGGTCGGTCTGGATCTGGAGAGACCGCCACTTCTAGTAGTTTGATATGCCTCCATGCGGATTCTGGATTGATGCGTGCGCGTAGTTGCAATTTCGTACCGATCGGCACAGCCTATAGTAAACATTTCATTATTTAGATTATGCTTAGGTAAATCAGAATTGTTTATATATATTGTTAACATACTGTGCTTCGTACACGTCAGGTTACTATAATATATATCAATTGTGAAAATGTTACAATATGTAACATTTTCGCAATTGATTATGTACTCTATCAGCAAAGTTTTAAGGTTTAAATCAAGTGAAGCAAGGTATATGCACTAAATTTTCAAGATACCTACATGAGGATGACGAATGATCTTTGAAATGAGTAAAGGGTACTTCTTGGAAAAGCAATTTTTGAGTGTCACAGGGACATATCTTCTATAAAAATAAATTATTATGATAAAAACTACTATTACATCGTTTCTTCATTTCATTAAGCATAGTGTCATATAGATTTCACGGATAAAAAACGACGTAGATCGGAGTAATTTACCCTCAACACCACAAATCCGGTCAATTTTGCACGTTTTTACCGTGTCACACGCGCGCTGACTTTTGAGCAATCGCAAATATTTTTGAAATAACCCACGTTTTTAATCAGTTTGTTACACACATTTAAAAAAGACAAATCGGTTTACATATTGATCAAATTTCAAATTAATCGGAAGGAAACTTTTGATTTTATGGTCAGAAGTATATGTGTCACACGCTTAGCAAAATTTTCGCCGCGCGCCTTGCGCGAGATACTGTTCTGAGCTGGCGAGGCGTAGGCGAACCCCGATTGGTGTTTGCGAATCGTCATTTATGCCGCAGCTAGCAGGTGAGGTGGCCACGTCGCTGTTTCCCGCGCTTTCGTTGCTAAAATAAGTTCTTCAATTTCTTAAATTTTGGTTCTCAGTTATCCGGCTTTGCCATGTCACATTTTTTCAATATAATTGTACTTCTTCTAGAAAATGGGTTTTAAGGTGAAATATCTAGCTCTATAATGTAGATAAACAGTAATAAACTAGCCGGTTATATCTTTTCACTGCAGAGTAATTTCAAAATATATGATTTTTGGTAATTTCCATGGTGTAATTTCCATGGATAAAACACCATGGAAATTACGTATCACCCATGGAAATTACTTTGTTTCATTTTGGTTGCAAAAAAACAAACGTTATGTTCAATGTTTGTTTTCAATGAAATGCACGCCATCGCCAAATACAGACTTAAATGTTGAATGTTGGTTATTTTTTTAATTAAATCGTCTTAAATATCATTTAAAACTTTGATCATCATCTTCAAATTCTCAAATCGTGATTAAACAAATTCAAGTTTAAAACATCTGTCTTTCGCTGTCGTCAGTTTGAAGTTAACAGGGTCACAAGGACATTTTTTACACCGGATTAAGTTAACATATTGTTTAAGCTCCTTAGTTCAAATAATATTTTAATTTATAAACAATAGGTCATAATAATAACAATTTAATGTAATAGATGGCGTTATGCAAAATTAGAATCACGATGACATTTGATTTTTATAAAATACATATATATCAAATAAGGTCAAGTTAAGTTGTTGCTAATACAGAACTCTTTAGATCAGCTGGTGTTTTATTTTTAAATCACTAGCCGCTTCAGTACAACCTAGGCCAAAATTATACATGGTCCTTAGCGACCCGGATGTTTTTGAATTAGACGCATACTCGCAGTGGATCGCTGCAAAAAGAGTATGTAACAGTGTTTTCAGCACTACCAAGCAGCAGCGACAAAGGTGTGTGTGAGACAGAACATAACCCAGAGAGCAGAGCTATCGAAAGTGACGTCATTGAGACTTCAAAAGGAGGTCAACACAGATCAAAACAGGTGTATGTGCAGTGCAAATTGTGAGTACAATTATAAACCTTATTACCTTAGAAGAATAAATATAGTGGTGATTACAGTGTTAAGGAATTTGAACCTTAATTACTTCAAGTGTGAAACTTAGAAGAAATTTCAAGACATCTGGACTTAGAATAATTAGTAAATATTTATCTAGGACTTAGAAAATTTTAGCTTTATAAGTAGTTAGGACTTAGAATAATTAAGAAAAAAACGGGGGAACGAGGACTCTATGCCCGATTTCCGTTCGAACCTCTTTAAATAAAAACACTTGCAATTTTTTTTCAAATTTTAAATAGAATACTGATTTGCAAAATATAATTTTAGTTTGTTTACCGGAAACGGAATATTTTGGTTTGAAGCAATTTTAATTTTAAAAATGGATAGTCTTATCAATTTACAAAAAGATTTACAGACTTCTATTGACAGAGGCTTAATAAACTTTAAGAAAAGTCCAAAAGAGAGAATAAATATTGAATATTTAGAAGCAAGGTTAGAAAATTTGGATAGTGATTGGCAATCATTTAGAGATAATAATAAAAAAATAGTTGAAACTTATAAGAAAGAAGAGTTAGATTTGTCTTTGTATGTAAAAAATGAAATGTATTCTAAAACTGAGGATTCTTATTTTATGTATAAATCTGTTATGAAAGCTGAACTCAATAAACTGTTAGTAAAAAAGATTCCTAATGTCCAAAATAGTGTAAATAAAGATGAATTCTCCAGTTCCTTTGTAAAGTTACCTAAGATATCCATACCTATATTTTCTGGTAGGTATTCGGAATGGCCTACATTTCGCGACTTATTTGTCTCATTAGTTCACAAAAATAAATCTTTGGATAGTGTACAGAAGTTACATTATTTAAAAGGCCACCTCACTGGAGAAGCCGAGCAGTTGATCAGGCATACACCAATAACTGAAGCCAACTACATCCAGTGTTGGGATCAATTAGTAAAGCGATATAACAATAAACGCTATCTAGCTAATTGCATTTTAAAAAGATTATTTAGCCAGAGACGTTTAAATTTTGAATCTGCTTCTGGTTTAAAGGAACTGTTGGATAATACTACTGATTGTCTGAATGCATTAAAAAACTTAGATGTTAATGTAAGTACATGGGATATTATCATTATACACATTGTAACTTTTAAATTAGATCAAGAAACGAAAAAGCAATGGGAGTTAAGTGTTTCATTTAATGAATTGAGTGAATTGCCAACTTACGAACAGTTCACAGTTTTTATAGAGAATAGGTTTAGAGCATTAGAGTGTTTAGACTCAAAGAAGCCACTGTCACAACAGGTTAGTACAAAATCATTGCTAACTACAAATCAGCCGGATAGGTTGAAATGTGAGTTTTGTTCCCAAGGTCATAAACTTTGCTTTTGTAAAGAATTTGCAGCTCAATCATATGATCAAAGGCGCGAGTTTGTAATAAAGAAAAAGATTTGTTTTAACTGTCTCGGTGGTAATCATATTATATACGATTGCAAGAAATCTACTAGTTGTAAACTTTGTAACAAGCGTCATCATTCCTTATTGCATCCACAATATAATCATGAAAATAAAGATCAGACAAAGGACATTGAAAAACCTAGTACTTCGAAAAATGATTCTTCAATTGTTACATGTTTATCAACAGGAAGTGTGGAAAGGCCAAAACAGATTTTACTAGCTACTGCCTTAATTATGGCTGAATCTAAAATAGGTGAATTTCAACCAGTGCGAGCGCTACTAGATCAGGGCTCGCAAGCCTGTTTTATCACTGAAGCCACAGTTCAACTTTTAAGATTAAGAAAAAGGTCAATTCATGGTATTATATCTGGATTAGGTGAGAACAAATCAGTGGTTTCAAAGGCTGTAGTTCAATTTATAATACAATCACGCATTGATTCGACTATAAGAATACCGGTTGATGCCTATGTGTTGAAAAATATTACTTCATATTTACCTGAAAAAAATGTTGAAACAATTGACTGGGTAGATTTGAATTGTTTACAATTAGCTGATCCTAACTTCAGTAAGTCCAATAAAATAGATATTTTAATAGGCGCCGAAGTGTATAGTAATATCCTTAGAGAAGGAGTGAAGCGAAGTCCGTCTGGGTCATTGATTGCTCAGAACACCTCATTAGGGTGGATTATTTCAGGTGCAACAGATGTTGTTAGGTCAAGTTTGCATAAAACTAATAAAGTAGTTGCTATGCATACTCAGATCAATGAAGATCATTTTCTAAGAAAGTTCTGGGAAATTGAAGAACAAATACCATCGTTAAAGAAAATCTATACGGAAGAAGAACAACTTTGTGAGAAGTTTTTTGAGAACACTACATCTCGAACATATGATGGTCGATATATAGTTAAGTTACCTTTTCGTGATGAAAATCCGCAGTGCGAAAACTACGGCTCTCGAGAAATAGCTGAAATTAGATTTAAATCACTAGAAAAAAGACTTTCGAAAGATCAAGATCTTAAAGAAAAGTATAAAGAAGTAATAAATGAATATCTAAAATTAGGACACATGAGATTAGTAAAAGATCAAAATAAAGATAAAGCGGTATATTTACCCCATCACGCCGTTGTTAGAGATGATAGAACTACAACAAAGGTTCGAGTCGTGTTCAACGCATCTGAAAAGAATAGAAAGGGTGTGTCTTTGAATGACACCCTTATGGTAGGTCCTACTCTTCAGGCTGACTTACGGCATACTATATTAAGATGGAGAGTACATACAATAGCATTAGTAGCAGACATAATTAAAATGTACAGACAAGTTCAAATCGCTGAAGAAGATGCAAGATATCAGCGGATATTGTGGCGAGACAATCCTGAAACAGAAATAAAAGAGTATGAATTACTAACTGTGACATTTGGAACGTCTTCGGCTCCATACCTTGCCGTTAAAGTGTTACAACAAATTGCTCAAGATGAAGGACAACAATATCCTCTTGCCGCGGATATAATTGTTAATAGTTTTTACATGGACGATTTAATGACTGGTTGTAACTCTTTACATGAAGGGTTAGAACTTTACAAACAGATAAGTGGTTTATTAGAGAAAGGCCAATATCCGCTACAGAAGTGGAGTAGTAATAATAAGACATTAGTACATGATATAGAACAACTAGAACAAAATAAAATAAAACCTATAAATCAAGAAGAAAATAGGAAGGAACAGAAAAATTATATTCAGAAGTCAGATAAAATAGATATTAAGCTAGATAATACAATTAAAATACTTGGACTTACCTGGGACCGCAATGATGACACTTTTCAGTATGGATTGATTCTCCCTCCGGCAACAGCACCTGTAACAAAAAGAACTATTATTTCAGATATCGCAAGGTTTTTTGATCCATTAGGATTGATAGCACCTACAATTATAATAGCAAAAATTTTTATACAACGGTTATGGTTAGCTGGTGTGGGATGGGATGAGAAACTATCTACAGAAATAATAAACGAGTGGAATACTTACCGTCAGACTTTAATGGAACTTACTAAAATTCGAATTCCTCGTTGGATTGGTATGAAATCTGATGATCTTGATGTTGAGCTTCACGGGTTTTGTGATGCTTCGAAATCTGCTTACGCTGCGGTGGTATATATTAGAACAATTAATGTGGATGGTGAGGTTCAAATTTCAATTTTAAATGCAAAAACAAGAGTAGCACCGATAAAGCAAGTAAGCATTCCAAGATTGGAGCTATGTGGAGCAGTGCTACTATCTAAATTATTGTTAGAGAATGCAAATGTACTCAACATAAGTAAAAACAAAATCAAAGCATGGACAGATTCAACCATCGTGTTATCATGGTTAAATAGTCACCCCAGTCGGTGGAAAACCTTTGTTGCTAACCGAACATCTGAGATTTTAACTAACATGAATTCGTCACAATGGTTTCATGTTTCCACAAAAGACAACCCAGCGGATTTAGCTTCAAGAGGAGTATTACCTAATATTTTAGTTGGTAACAAGTTATGGTTTTTAGGTCCTGATATGTTAAGAACAAAAAATATTATTTACGAGAAGAAAATAGAATTGAAATCTAATTTGGAAGAAAATATTAAAGCATACCATACTACTAGACAAGAGCAATCTATTTTAGAAAAGTATTCGTTTTTAAATAAGTTATTAAAGGTTGTAGCATATTGTAGAAGAGTAATCTATAAAGGAAAAAATGAGACAGTATACTTACGTAAAAAAGAGATTGATGAGGCACTTCAATGTTGCGTAAGATTGGCTCAAAGGGAAGCTTTTCCAGTAGAATATTCAATGTTGTTAAAAAATGAAAATATACAAATAAAATCTAGTTCATTAAAATCACTTTGTCCCTATATGGATAATAATCAAATAATAAGAGTTTATGGTAGATTACAGCAAGCACCAATTGACGAAAGCTTTAAGCATCCTATAGTTTTACCAAACAAACATCATTTTACCAAATTGATAATTGCTGATTCACATAGTAAAACACTACATGGGGGTCCACAATTAATGATGAATTACATAAGATCAGCTTATTGGATAATCAATGGAAAAAAGATGATTAAACAATATGTACGAAATTGCATGAAATGTGCTAAGCAAAGAATTGAAATCAAAACGCCTTTTATGGGTTCGTTGCCATCTGTTCGATGTACTCCAGCTAGACCATTTTTACACAGTGGTGTAGACTATGCTGGTCCAATTAATATAAGAACATCTAAAGGTAGAGGCCAACATTCTTACAAAGGATATATTTGTTTGTTCGTGTGTATGTGTACTAAAGCCATACATTTAGAGCTGGTGAGCGATATGACAGCTCAAGGATTTTTAGCTGCTTTCCGGAGATTCACCTCTAGAAGAGGACATTGTGCGAAAATTTGGAGCGATAACGCTACTACATTTATAAAGTCAAACAAAGAACTGCAAGAGTTATCGTCTATTCAGCAGGCCAGTGTTCAATATTTAGAACAGAATAATACTGAATGGCATTTCATACCGCCACACTCTCCTAATTTTGGTGGACTTTGGGAGGCTGGCGTGAAATCGACCAAGTTTCATTTAAAGAGAGTAATTGGTGATGCGACTTTAACTTTTGAGGAAATGTGTACTCTTCTTTATCAAGTTGAAGCTTGTTTGAATTCACGACCTATTAGTGTAATTAACAATGACCAACCAGATGAGTTATTACCATTAACTCCAGGACATTTCTTGATAGGCGAACCTCTTGTGAATGTGCCCCAGCAAAATTATGAAAATTCGACAGTGAGTAGTTTAAATAGATGGCAATTCATTCAAAGAGCTTTGCAAACGTTTTGGAGACGCTGGTCGCAGGAATATTTATCTTCTATGATGAACAGATATAAATGGAAGTTACATATACCTGAACCAGAGATAGGTCAAATCGTCTTAGTTAAAGAAGATAACTTACCTCCAAGTCGTTGGCTTTTAGGGCGTATACTTGAAAAGCATCCCGGGAATGATAATATCACCCGTGTAGTTACATTGCGTACTAATTCATCTGTCATTAAAAGACCTGTATCAAAACTATGTATTTTACCTATATCAAATTAATGTTTGTTTAATTAATATTTAAGTTTAATCTTTAAATGAGTAATTAATTAGTTAATAATGTTTAGTTTTCATACTAAGAAGAATTCATTGATTCCTTTAATTTATGTTTTAGTTCAATTTTGTAGGACATTTTCTCATTAAAATGTCCTAAGGGGGCGGCATGTTTAAGCTCCTTAGTTCAAATAATATTTTAATTTATAAACAATAGGTCATAATAATAATAATTTAATGTAATAGATGGCGTTATGCAAAATTAGAATCACGATGACATTTGATTTTTATAAAATACATATATATCAAATAAGGTCAAGTTAAGTTGTTGCTAATACAGAACTCTTTAGATCAGCTGGTGTTTTATTTTTAAATCACTAGCCGCTTCAGTACAACCTAGGCCAAAATTATACACATATTATATAAATTATTTATTTATTGTAAAAATTTACTTTGATTAAACACTAAATTGGTACCTGTAGGGCCAATGGTTTTCTCAAAAACGATAGATAGCTAAAGGGGTTATCTTGACTGAAATAACCTCCTAATATCTACTTATGACCGGTGTTCGTTATCTATCGTTTTTGAGAAAACCACTGGCCCTACAGGTACCAATTTGGTGTTAAATGAAAGCCAATTAAATTTACAATAAATTAATTACTGATATTTGACGTAGGATGCGTTTTTTATAAGATAATTGACAAAATAAATAACCATTTCGAAAAAGGGTTCTCTATGTCACTTCGAAACACGTTTCTTCGATAATTGATACATCGACAACTATACGTGAACGTCGAAGCGTTCATTGTTCGAAGTTTCAATACATCGAATATCTTACTTCGACGCCCGACTTTTGTTTGTCCGATGTAACGTTACTTCGAAAAATTTACCAGATGCTGAAATTTCAATGTTGGTCTCATAGTGAAAGTTGTTCAGTTTCATGGGCTGAGCTACCACCTGAGAGGTTTTGCGCTATTTCCATAACACGTTGTATATATTTTGTTTTTTGAGAACATGAACGTGTTTAGGTTTCGTTCCAACTTTGAGAAAATACTATCGTATATCGTTTCAGTATAATGTAGGTAGATCTTAATACTACCCTAACTAATATGTCAGCTTAATTTCATATACGACATGGTGTTTAGCAAAATTTTATCTGCTGTGTAATTTCCATTGCCTTATATGTAATTTCCATGGTCCGCCAATTTTCTACATTTTTTTTTAGCAAAAGTATAGATCTCAGTCGTGGCCAATTTTAATATGTTGTTTAAATTTGCAGAAGTTTTCGAAATATTTATATAATTCACCATAATTTTGCGATTTCAAAAATGCCCTGGAAATTACACGGAGAACACATTTCCCAAGAATCACCCTAAAGTAAGTTAAAATGAGTCCTGTAAGTTAAAATATTAGAAATGGAACCAACGTACAGCAGTTACCTGGTCGACCGGTAAATCTACGGAGTGATTCGTATGCCTGTTTACTGGTGGAGCTTCCTTATATAAGGCCACTTCATACTCCAGACGTCCAGGAGTCTCTTCCACAACGCCCGACACTCGAGCTCCGTGTGGACTTAAATGTTAAAACATATTTGTTATAACGTTTCCCTTTGACAGTATGATATATATGTAGATAGATACCTATATTTTATTAAATGAATTACTGTAGTGTTTTCTGTCAAAAATAAACATACTTCAAAAGTTTTTATTTCGTCTATCGTCGTGATAGCACTCTGCATATATGTACTCATAAAATATTATTTATTTAGTATTTCACATATTTATATATTTTACCTTCATCATCATACTACTTTATTTAATTATTTTTGGTTTTCTCCTTTACGCTACCTCCGGTCTTTCTGTCCAAATGTTGAACGAATCAAAGATTGTCAGCAAGAGATCACTTTCAGCGATAAGACCGTCTTTGCCCGTCATGTAAAATTTCATTATAACCAATATTGTTAACTTAATATTAATAATTATGTGTGTTATTATTTACATTTTTATAAATTTACCTGCACTCCTTATCCAGCAAATTCCACGGAAACCGAACATTAACTAATATAAATGTTACAGAATATACATGCTATAAATTTAATTATCTTTTATTCCAATGAGCAAATTGATTAAATTTTTGAATCATTCAATTTTTTCTTCTGCCCGTTCAAGACGCTTTTTGGCTAAGAAGATGAATGAGTGAAAGAAACTTACCAGCTCTTAACAGAAGTAACGACACATACATATGCTATTTATCTATCTGAGTTGTCGCTTTAATCAAAAGTTAATTAATCAGGCGCTTTCATAACAAAGGCCAAAAATATAGTACAATACTATATATTATAATCCGGTTGGCAACCCTGGGAACTAAGATAACACAAAGCCATGACCCAGACAATACGGAAAATTTCTTCTTCTATATGTATATAAATAAATTTTACCAGAATCGAATCAGCAAAAATTATGAAGTCTAAGTACTAAAAACACGATTTTGCTATTCTACGACTTGACGGTTTAGTTACAGTTTTAAGTTATAGCCTTTATTTAGTAATCAAACACGTAATACTTACAAGCTACCTGCGAATCCAGCTGCCTTATTTTCGATGATAGTTGGCTCAGGAGGCTTACACATTATGATTAGTTCTTGATCCGACTGCATCACTACACCCGGAAATTGGGGAAACCACACTCGAACATGGACGAAACCCTGCGAACAATATCGACGTTGGAAATCAAAGTTCTTATTCTTAATGAAAAATGCTTAACGATCCACTTTGTCCCTGGCACTCTGAGATTAAATTCGAACCTACTGAGCTACCTAGGATCTAATTAGCTGACGAATTTTTCGAGCACTTGTTACTTTTTCGCTACTTTTTTTTAAAGTAGGTATTATGCATTAAGAATATTTTCAGTACCTACACCATTGTGAATGCAAAATTGATCAAATATAATAATCAAAATTCTTATTAATGTACAGCAGGAGATCATCACGCGTAGCATAACAAAGTCAAGAAACGATTTCTACATCAAATGTCACTTTTCTCAGGTCGAGTATGAGATGTCATCGACATCTTTCATTTCATTTTACATGTAGAAATTAATTTATCCACTTGATATTGGCAGAATTATGCGTATTTCGCATATTTCGCTTATCTGTGCTATTAATAGAAGACGAAGAAGAGATGTGGTGCAGACAAAACGTTCTCGAGTTCGTCATGCTACGTTTGCTGGAGTGTGTCTTTTAGTAAATAACAACTAAGTTGGTAATTAACACTGATATCAAATCCTTAATCATCATTCCTTAGTGTGACGTACAGTCAACAGCACGCCAAGTTGGATCTGTCAAATATCACTTTTTGACTTTAAATCATAGAGTTCAAAAATATTTCTGAGTGTATTCTAAGGTTCTAAAACAAATGAAACGATATCGCGATGTATGTTATAGAAGTTTGATTAAATTATTTTGAACAGAGCGTATATTGAAAACAATTGCATATATACCGGTTAATGCTATATCTGCTAGTGGCTCTGTAGGCCACCGTGTGCATCGTACGGGACGTAACGGCAAAGTTATTACCAACCAAGGACAAAACATCTACACCACACATTTTCATTGACGAACAAGCACTAAACACATGGGCATATTGATCTAAACCCTGTTTACGGGGTTTTGTTGCATTTAAGTACGAAGTCGTTTCTTGACTTGCAGATTTAAATGCATATTTAACATAAAGTAAATTAAAAACAAACATCTCAGCTGTTCGAGATAAGACGTAAAATAATATTTTTTACCATTCATAAATGAATTAAGTATTAATAATGTTTTTCAAAACAAGTTTATCCATTCACCACTTTGTGATAGTCTATTTTCTACAAGATTAGTTATAATATCAGCATATTTACCCCTTATTTGTGAAGAAAAATTCTAATTATACCCCTATCTATAATAAGTGCGTATAGTGCGTATGTCTATATGTTATAAAAACATTAAACCAGTTTACAAATAAAAACAATAGTTGCGTTATTTAAAAATAAGGTACAATTTTGTAAATAAACTCAATTGTGGGCGCTTTGTAGGAATTCCTACAGTTCGTATTGCTCTTTTGCTGATACCGTTTTTGCGGTACATAACGAATGCAGTAATTTGCATAACGTTTAGAAGACTTTTTATCTTGAATCGATTTATCAATGTTTATAATTTATCGGATGTTATTTGTAAAAAAAAAAAATCTGTGAGTGAGAATTATAATTACTGAAAAGTAGCATTCTCTAGTCTAAGAATTACTTTTGTGACGAGTTCGGTGCTTGGGTCAATTAGTAAGACTGACTAGCTTGAGTATGGATTTATGAATTGTATAAGAATATAAAAACAGTTCGTATCTTACCTAAATATAAAATTAAAATTTACCAATTAAACGAACCCTTTTTGGGTTTCTTGTTAAAACCTTGGATCGTAATATATAATTTCTATCACAATGTCTCATTCTTAATCATTACCGACAATTATTTTAAAATTTTATATTAAAATTTATACGATTTAATACGTTAATATGTTGATTTACATGTTATTTACAGATGATTTTTTTACGAACTGACATCCATAGTATATTTGATTAGTCAAAATTTTAAATAACGAAAGATGAATCATCATCATCATCATCATTTCAGCCGAGAGACGCCCACTGCTGGGCATAGGCCTCCCCCAAAGATCTCCAAAACGATCGGTCCTGCGCTTCCCGCATCCAGCGGCTTCCCGCGACCTTCACCAGATCGTCGGTCCACCTTGTGGGGGGCCTGCCAACACTGCGTCTCCCGGTACGCGGTCGCCACTCCAGGACCTTACCGCCCCAACGGCCGTCAGTCCTGCGAGCGATGTGCCCTGCCCACTGCCACTTGAGGTTTGCAATTCTTTGAGCTATGTCGGTGACTTTAGTTCTTCTGCGGATCTCATCATTTCTAATTCGATCTCGCAAAGAAACCCCGAGCATAGCCCTTTCCATTGCCTCTGAGCGACCTTGAGCTTCCTTATGAGGCCCATCGTAAGCGGCCACGTCTCAGCACCGTATGTCATCACTGGCAACACGCACGAATTAAAGACTTTTGTCTTGAGACACTGCGGTAGATGTTCCGAGAATACACTGCGTAGCTTCCCGAACGCTGCCCAGCCGAGTTGGATCCGTCGACTTACCTCTCTCTGGAAGTTGGACTTACCTAATCGGACTATTTGTCCCAGGTAAAGGTACTCGTCGACAGCTTCCAGTATAGAGCCTCCAACAGTCACTGGAGTGGGTACGACATGGGAGTTTGACATTATTTTTGTCTTCTCCATGTTCATTTTAAGACCCACTTGCTGGGAAACTCTACAGAGGTCTTCGAGCATTGTGCCTAGATCTTCCATGGTCTCAGCCATGACTACGATATCATCAGCGAAACGAAGATGAATAATAAAAAGAAATGACGTTGAATTTCAAAGACAAAAAGTTTGCATATTGAAACCTAGGAAAATAAACGGTGGTATGGCATACCGTTAGACTTTTAAAATCTGTACTATGTAAAATATTCGAAAAAAAAAATCAATCTTGTTAATTATTCTATTTACTCTTCTGGTTTACTCTGATGAGAGTAGGCAGTACAGACTCAGGCCGAGACTGTGCAGACTGTGCACTGTTCACACTCACGGTGAGTTCTCAGATCCTCGTCATTTTCTAATATGGAAGACTTTGCTAGTGCAGACGCTTTGGTATATATGCACTAGTCTTGTGACTAAAAAATTGAGGCTCAGACGATTGTGGATGTTAAAGTAAATGCAGTTTAAAAAATTCCATGATTAGACTCGTGCGCACGCAAAAAGGAATCTTATGTTGGATATTCCCACGAGAATGAGATATTATCCAGTGGGAAAGAAAATGGATCAAGATTCGTTTAGGCTTACGTTTCTTTTTAACACGCCACATCGAGTGAAATCGGTAATTCGAAGTCTGTACAGCAGCTCCGTGGGGTCGTCAGGCTCTGGCCTGATCTGACAGACGGGGTCCGTAACTGGGTCCGTAGCGCGGTCGTCAGCGAACAACGGTGCGCCTCGGAACCCCTCCGGTTTCCGTAGCAGTGCAGTGACCGAGTCGCGCAAGCCGTTGCTGCCGCTCGAGAACGTGCATTGGATGTCCGTCACTATTGAGAGATATTAATTTAAGTTAATTACAATAAAAATTCTTTCAAATGATCCCTTTTTACATAGAAAATCTCGAAAGAAACTTTATGCTGTTTGTTTGTTAAGTTGTTAATAATTGCATTTTTACAATGAGGAAGTATTAAAAAAAAAACGAAAGCACTAAAGAAGCACTTCCATTAGATGGCAAATCTAGCAAAAATTGATTTTTGCAGGAAACGAATGGACCAAAGACAGTCATTTCCGTTCCTTTTAACTAACATATTAAAAAACTGAAATTTGAAAAGTTCGAAACTTATATGTATATCAATACAAATACGAAAAAGTACAAATAGAATATGAGTTGTTTATTGAGTTTTGGAAACCAATTTACTTTAAAACATGAAAGAAAACCGGAAGGGTTGTCATGGAGAAATCAAGAACGTACCGTAGCGAAATCTAGCTTGATTTCGGAATCTAGTGTTTTTTTTTAAACACTTCCTCATTATTTTCATATAAAATAAGAAATACCATCCTTAACTGGAATAGTGTTTTTTTTCCTATTGGAGGAATATCAGTATTACATATCAGGGATACCTGGTAGATATATAAATATCTGTGTTTTTACACTACATATCTCCATAAAATATAGACACTAAATGAGCTTATTGCAAATATCGTTATTTGACTAGTTATTTTTCCTTCAATAAAAAATTTATTATTTCGATGAACAATCATGAATGTTGACTAATATTTACAGAACTTTTGGAAAGTTCAACTTGTGATAAATTCAAATTACCGTAATTATAAGATTGATAATTTATTAATAGTGTGGTTCACTTACCATCGTAATCTTGTGCGAGCGTCGACTTTATCTGGAACAGAACATTCAATTTGTTTAAAATCACCGGAAGGAAGACCAAAGCGATTAGGTACACCAGTTAACTTTAATTAATTCTTATGTTTGAATGTCGGTATTGTTACTTTGGTAACTATATAGTCGTGTTCACATTGTTTGTCTTGTTAGCGATTTGGGGCAAAGATAATAAATAAAATGGCATGGATATTTTGCAAATGTGTAAGTATCACGCCTTCTGTATATTGCAGTTTAAATGAATATAAAATAATGATGCTAATTACTTTATTGGCAGTAATTTGCTAGTGCCTCAAATATACTTTGGTTGTACTCGTTTCGCTGAAAATATTTAGGTAATCATTTTCTGTACATCTTCAATTATATTCTCTAGTAATTTTCACTTGAACTTAAATGAATTCTTACATATTTTAAACAAAATATGAAACTAAATGAAGACTGTGCAGAAAAAGGTTTTAATTATTAATACCGTTTTATTATAAGAACATCAAAATTAGGTTCAATGTGAAAGTATAATAAAAAGAATTAACAAACGAAAGCAGAAATAGGTACCAACATAAACATTTAGTTTCGGATCAAACGCCATTCTGCAAAGGTTGAGTGTATGGTTTGCGGTTAAAAAAATAAAACTAACCGCACC